TGTTGTGGGTGGGTGTGTGTGTGGGTGGGAGTGTGTGTGGGAGGGTGTGAGTGTGGGTGGGTGTGAGTGTGGGTGGGTGAGGTGTGGGTGGGGTCGTGCTGTGGGTGGTGAGTGTGTGGGTGGTGTGTGTGTGGGTGGGTGTGTGTGTGGCGTGGGTGTGAGTGGGGTGAGTGTATATGTGTGTGAGTGTTATGTGTGTGTGTGTTATGTGTGTGTGTGTGTCTAATGTGGGTGTGCTTTGTATTAGTTCGTGTGTGTGGTCTCATGTGGTGTGTGTGAACTGTGGGTGTTTGAGGTACAGTGGGTGTGTGTGTGTGAGTGTGTGTGTGTGTGAGATTGTTTTGTTGAGTGTGAGGTGTCGGTTGTGTGAGTGGGGTGTGTGTGTGGGGGTGTGTGTGTGTGGGGGTGAGTGTGTGTGTATCATTCATGTGTGTGTGTCGTCGTGTGTGTGTGAGGTGTGGTGGGGGTGTGTGTGAGTGGGGGTGAGAACTTCTGTGAGCTGTTATATATATGAGTGTGTGTGTGTGTGTGTGTGTGTGTGTGTGTGTGGTGGTGTGAGTGTGTGTGGTGTGTGTATGTGTGTGTGTGGTGTGTCATGGGTGTGTGTGTGTGTGTGAGGTGCTTGTGTGTGTGTGATGTGTGTGTGTGTGTGTGTGTGTCAGTGTGTTGTGGTGTCGTATGTGTGTGGTGTGTGTTATGTGTGTTTGTGTGTGAGTAATCGTGTGTGTGTGTGTGTCTGAGTGTTGTGTGGGTGTATCGTGTGTGTGTGCTCGTGTATGTGGTGTGTGTTTGTGTTGTGTATGTGTGTGAGTGGTATGTGTGTGTGTGTGTAGTGTCTGTGTGTGTTGTGTGTGTCTGTGTGTGTGTGTGTGTAAGTGTGTGTGAGTGTGTCTGATTGAGTCGTGTGTGTATGCTGAGTCGTGTGTGTGTATGTGTGTGTGTGTGCTGTATGTGTGTGTGTGTGTGTTTGTGTGTGTCGTGTGTGTGTGAGTGTGTAGTGTAGTGTGTGAGTGTGTGTGTGTGTTGTTGGGTGAGTGTGTGACTATGTGTGTGTGTGTAAGTGCTTGTGAGAAATATTTGGTTTGTGTTGTGTGTGTGTGTGTGTGTGAGGTTTGTTCGTGTGTGTGTTGATAGTTTGTTAGTGTGTGTGATTGAGAGTGTGTGGGTGTGAGAGTGTGGTGGTGTGTGTGTGTGTATATGTGTTTGTGATGTGTGTTTAGTGGTGGATTGTTGTGAGTGTGTGTGTGGTGTGTGTGACGTGTGTGTGTGATTGAGTATGTGTGTGATTGTGTGTGTGTGGGAGATTGTGGTGTGAGTGATTGAGTGTTTGTGAGTGAGTTGAGAGAGTGTTAGTGAGTGATAGTGTGTTGTGGATGAGTGGGTTAGAGTGTGTGAGTGTTGATAGTGATGTGAGTGATTTAGTGGTGATAGAGTGATAGTTAGATAGTTGGGGAGATGGGGTGTTGTGTGTGTGAGAGTAGAGTGTGTGAGATGATTGTGTGATATTAGGATTAGTGTAGATGATTGAGTAGATTTTGTGTGAGAGAGGTGTTTAGTTTTGTGTTTGGGGGAGAGTGTGGTGTATAGAGAGGTGTGTCGTTTGTGATGTGTGTGTTAGAGGGAGAGGGTGTGTTGAGTGTGTGTGTGAGTTGTGTGTGCTGTGCTGAGTGTTTGTGTTGGTGTGTGTGTGAGTGTGTAGTGGGGGGGGGAGTGGTGTTATATGGGGGAGTGTGAGAGTGAGGGGGGTGTGAGAGTGTCGAGTAGTGTGAGAGTAGTTAGTGAGTGATAGAGTGTTTTAGAGAGATTGTGAGTGGTTTGTGGGGTTGAGAGTGTTGTGGTGGAGTGTGTGTGTGGTGTGTGATATATGAGTGAGTGTGAGTGTAGTGTGTTTGTGTTTGTGTAATAGGGGGTGTGAGTGTGTTGTGGCGGGTGTGCATGAGTGTGGGAGGGAGTGTGAGTGTGGGTTGTGCGAGTGTGAGTGGGTGGGGGCTGTTAGGGTGGGATGGGGTTTGAGTGTGGGAGGGGGGTGTGTAGTTTGGGGTTGTGTTGTGATGGTGGGGAAGTGTGTTTGGTGGGGTTGTGGAGTGATGGAGGGGGAGTGAGTGTGGGTGGGGGTGTGTGGGAGAGTGGTGTGTTGGTGGTGGTGTGTGGTGGGGGTGTGGAGGGTCGGGGGTGATGAGTTGTGAGTGTATGTGTAGAGTATTTTTGTTAAAGTGTGTGTGTATGTGTGTGTATGAGTTGTATGGGTGGGTATCTGTGTGTGTTGTGTGTCGTGGGTGTGTGTGTGATTATGTGTGTGTGTGTGTGTGTGTGTGTGTGTGTGTGTGTGTGAGTGTGTGTGTGTGTGTGTGGGTGTGTCGTGTCTATATGTGTGTGAGTGTGTTAATATGGGTGAGTGCGTGTGTGCGTGGGTGTGTGTGTGTGTGTGAGTGTGTGTGTGTGAGAGTGTGTGGGTGTGTGGTATGTAGTGAGTGTGATTGTGTGTGGTGGCTGTGGTTTG